AAAAAATGAATTGATCGGAAACTGAACCGATTTCGCTAATTATTTTTTTGTAATTTTTTCTAGAAGTACGAGGATGGTTCTTACGGTGATAAAAATTTTAAAAAAATCCTGAAAAAGTCTAAAAACAACACTTTTCTATATTCCCAGTCAAAAGATTCGTAATAATACTTTCTTTCAGTCAATTTGAACTTAAATACCAGACCATAAAGTTTAAGTGTTAGTGGAGGGGTTCCGGGAAGGCAAAACAAATGAGTGACGTTAGTATCGTATAAATATTAATGTCAATATTTATTTATTTTATTTTACAATTTTAGGGAATCTTACAGCTAAAAAAGGTTCAATAATATACAATTAATATTATGAAGGCCAATTATCAGTTTCCACGCTTAGGCATTATCACATCCTTACACACCAATGCTCAAAAAAATCTCAAGGCAGCTATATTAAAATCTAGATAACTCAAAGTATCGATCACATAGGGCTTTCTTCGGTCTAGTAACACTAGTGCAGAAAAATTAATAAAAATCATATAAATTAAATATTTATGCGATGGTAACATTACCTGTACGCGTTTAGTGAGTTACTAATAAAATTGGTTTATTGAAATTTCTAGAAAGAGTTAACCTTATATTGTGCAGATTGTCGTAACCTAGTTTATCTACTTATGTCCAATACAAAATTATTATTATAAGTTATTCTTTCTGAAAGACGTAACTGACTTCAGTTATCCAAGTATTCTTGAATATTGTATGTAATTATCCTACGCGTAATCAGCACTAAAGTTCAGACGAACGCTGTGAGAAGCAAATACATAAGAAAGTCATAAATCTGTGTACTTCTAGAGTTATATAAAATATTTGTTGATAATTGGGTATGAAGCTGTATTTTTACCTGTTATAACCTCGTCCATGTATAACGGATGATGACTGCTGCTCTGCTTACGAGTAGAATATACAAGGCCATGGATGGTGAGGTGGGGGCTTTGTCATACATACGATGACCAAATCCAAGACGACTTAGAGAAGGGACAAGTCCAAAGAACTCATAACGGACGAGCATGCATGGTGAATGTCATGAGAGTGGATGAAGCAAGAGATGTATCAGGTCTGTATCAAGTGGAGATCCGTGGTATCAACGCCTGCGATAAAAAGGCGTGAGTGTATAAATAAATAAAACGTAATTTCGTTGATAATATTTTATAAGCAAGATTCAGTCGAGAACTATGACTCTCGCATATTAAAATTCATACTTAGCTACTAGCGTATCATATGATTTTATTACACAACAAAAAACACCTACATTAAGTTCCGAGCTAAGAGAAAACTGAATAGAACAAAGCCATTTGAACTAGTGAATTAGTGTTAGTGCACGTTAGTATTAAGTGCTAAACGGTGAGTGAAAAATTTAAAGCAAGAACAGAAGCGTCTGTCTCTTAATAGAGACTGTAAGTAGTGTTTGGACACTATTTTATGTTAAATATCCTTATTAGTAAAGTAGGTTGGACTTAAATTACTTATTAGCATCAGGTTAGGATAGTTCTATCATTTTAGTAAAGACACACGTACAAAAAAAATTGTTCGGAGTTTTTGTCAATGTATTTGTAACAAAAAACGGTATAGATTTTGAGACTAGCGAGTATGTTTGGATCTTATAGATTATATCAGAGCGGTTTGATACTTTGTTACAATAACAATAGCGGCACCGATGTCAATATTTAGTTTTTGTACGCGAAATTGCGAGATCAGCGCTACGAATATTGAAATTATATTGAAATGGGGTGCAAAAACGTTCATATTGGACATCAAAGAACGCTGGCCCTGGTTTTTATGTGTGTCCCTATATCCGTTTAGGTCTGGACTTTAGATTTCTGTGTCTGTTTTGTGATATTTTTTCTTATAGGCAAGCACGTGATCAGCCTGTGTCTGACACACGTTGACTTTTAGCATTTGGCTTGGGTTTGAAGCATGTTTTAAAGCCGGTTTCATCACGATGTTTTCTTTACAGTACGGGATAGTTTTAAAAGCAGATAGAAAGTCATTTTTACACAGCTGGGGTTCGAACCTGATGAGAATTAAACCAGTAGGCCAACAAGACCTATCAACACAACAAAATCACAAATATTTTGCGTACTTATGATAGATTTTCAGGGTGCGGCAAGCGATTAAATTATAACGCGATATTTTTAAATTTATTGTAACGAGTTTATACTTCATATCACGTTAAATATTTTAAAATTACTATTTTATCTTGATAAATGTTTGTTATATGCGACTAATTTATTTAGTTATTCAACCTTTATATATAAAATACTACTTAGAGTCGTTAAGTCTATTAATGTCTCTAACCGTTGATTTATATATATTTATCGAATTGTACAGTTCAACGAAACTTAACGCCCGATAAGATAATAATTGCTGATAAATTGTATAAACGAAATCTTCAATCTATTTATCTAAGGGTGTGAAAGATGGAAGGTCACTAAAGACATCTCGCACCGTCTCCAAGTCTTTGTCAACCGCTTTCTTACGAGAAACTTTGGTAGCGCTGCCGAGAAACCCCGATTAGCCAGCACATCTAGCAACGTAAGTGGAAATGGATAGGCCATATGCTCCGAAGAGATTCCAATAATATCCCCAAGCATACGCTAATAATTAATTTATAAAGAAGTTTCACTTCTGACATGTGTACTTTGTGTGCACGCTTCTTTTTTAAATTTCATATGGAAATCATAATATTCAATTTAGCAAATGTTGGATCTGGACTAAAATTAACAATTCCCTCAAACATCTCCCTGCATAAGCATATTCAAATTTAAGTTAGAAATAATAGGAAATGTAGCTCTGGCTTCAAAAACCTCGTAAAACTATTTGAAATTCCATTCCTGGACAGTTTTGAACTGAAAACACGCCAACAATGAGTACTGAAACTCTTCTCAAAACTTAGCTTCGTTCTTTTTTTAAATTTAATTTGTTTCGTCTAACCAGACGGATTCAGCAAAAATATCATAAGTTGACAGGAAAATAGTGTTAATGTAATTAAATATAAATCTTTCCTATAGTTTATATTTATAGATAATCTAAAATTGGGATTATCCAAATACAATTTTGATTTAGCGCCTGCCAAATTAAAGAACGCAATTTTGTGTTAAATTCTAAATAGCTTCTTCTGTACGTCACTATTAGTAGGTACTGCCAAAACCTCTATTAATCTGCATCAATAGTCACTAATAATTTATTATTCATTACAATCTGTATTATTATTCGTTCAAATCTGTTAAGTTTTTATGAGATTTACTTGCAGAGTAACAGAGAAATAGACACTAATTAAATGATATTATTGTCTCAACAAAACGTCTACTTCAATTGAAAGCCAGTTAACAATCTCTCTTCTTATTCTTTATTTCTATATATATGTTAACGTAAAATTGTAAATACCGTTAGATTGTAATCTATCTCGCGAGATTATAAACTGTCGAAAGATTGTGAACTCAACGTACTGCTTACAATTTAACGTATTATTATTCGGTAGATTATAATCTATCGAAGTGAAATCGTCAAATTGTGATACGGTACGCTCCTCGCACGCTGATTGGTCGGCTTTATAGTAGACCGTTACATTATGTCCATAGAGTTAGGAATGAAACAAGGGTATCGGTCAAATAAAATGAATGCACTTCAAAAATTCGTTTTTATTATATCAGTAATTCTGACAATACATGATGAAAAAAAAAATATATCAAAATAAAAAATCAGAAACGTAACAATATTTTCTCTTCAAACACAAATTAAAATTTATGAAATTTTCTTTTAGAAAAAAACGATCACAAAATAAAATCAAAATTTAAAAAGTTGTGGCACCTGGAGTTACAAAGAACATTAGCTTTCTTTTTATTTTTTTGCAATTAAATTTTTTACTATTTTCATTATGCCCGCTGTAATAGTTTTGTAACTCTATGGTAAATTCTTCCTTATTAACAATACCTAATATTTCTGAGTTTTGTTGATCGACAGGCTCAATATCCGACATTGTAAATACGAGATCACAAAGGTTCACGCGAATAAAAAATATTAAAACACGGAAAATGTATGTAATTTAGACTATGTTTGGAGACCAACACTAACTTAATTATCATTCAAACTGCACTTCTTTGGTCAATCACAGATTAATTTTACTTCCACAACATTTTCATATAACTTTTCACGTTCACTTTCAACATCCTAAAGCTGTGAGTTACTTTCAAGACGACATCAATTTACATTCACCAAAACACCGTTTGTTTACATTCGACAACAAACGAATTAACAAACAAATATGGTCGCCACCATCATCAACAGCGCGTGGCATATTCCGTTCAACCAATCAGCGCGCAAGGTGCGTACCGTTTCACAATTTGACGATTTCACTTCGATAGATTATAATCTACCGAATAATAATACGTTAAATTGTAAGCAATACGTTGAGTTCACAATTTTTCGACAGTTTACAATCTCGCGAGATAGATTACAATCTAACGGTTTTTACAATTTTACGTTGACATATATACCTATAATACAAACATTAACTAACATCAATGAACATCTTGTTGTATAAATTATACATTAAAAGTTCTTCTTTGAAGTTCTGATATAAGAATATCTTTGGTTTTTTTATTAAACATCATATATCTGTTAGTATATGGTTTTTGACGTATGATTGTTATAGAACCACACTCGCTACTAACTTTAGTCCACATTTCATGCTAAGGTATTAAATCAGTATCCATCGTTTTTTTTATCATTTTACAGAATAATATAAATAAATAAAAGGAGCGCGACAAATGCATATAAAAATAAATATACAACTGTTTTTTTTATATTAAGCTATCTAATAACTAACCGGGTAGTCCATTTATTGACCGCGGTAGCAAAAACCTCAACGTACTTTCACCAAAGACGTTTGCTCTCGAAGTAAAGAGCCGAATTGCATTACATATCGGGATCGGCTAAATTAATAGTACTATAATGAATATAATAAATATTAAAGCTGATTTTAGTGAGGAAAACAGATTGCCAAATTTTATCAACTATGATATTCCGGTACGTTGAAACGTACAATACAATATTAACTCAAAATTGTATTTCAAGACAGACTCTTCAATACATATAAAAGTAATATTTACAAAAATACGAAAAGCGTCAATTTTCATTTCATTACAAAATTTATTTCTGTTCTATTTTCTTTCATCATTGTGAGATAGTATAATCTTCCTTTGTGGGCGTATAAAAATACGTAATATATTGAACAAGAGTATTGTCCTTTAAGGAGTTTTACTCAAGATTTTGCGTAGACCAAATTAAAATAAACTTTATTAAGAGACATTGATCATGTGATTTATTAGAGTCTGGATAACGCCTACATCCCGATAAATCCCTATACTAAATCTTTTTTGAGAATTTCTTGCTGTTTTCACTTTAACATATCTTGTTGACCTTTGCTCATTAAGATAACATATATACATCTATGTTAACGGGACAATTTCGCTAAATATGTGATAAGGTATATTACAATATTTTTATAAGTGAACGGTGAATAGTTTATTTCGGAATAAGATGCTGAGATTAAGTTAATATTAATATACTAGCTGACACGGCAAACGTCATTTTGCCATGTATATTATTTCTAGGAAAGATTTTTTAGTCTACTATCTACTATAATAAAAAATAGGGGTTGATCGTAGAGGGGTGAACATTAGGGGTTGTATGTATTTTTGTATGTTGTATCATAAAAAAATAAAAACAAAAAGTATTGTCCAAAAATCAAAATTTAGGGGTGGGACCACCCTTAACATTTAGGGGGATGAAAAATAGATGTTGTCTGATTCTCTAAACTTACTAAATATTTAATAATACTGACTTACTAAATATGCATAAAAAATTCATAAGAATCGGTCGAGTCGTTTCGAAGGAGTATGGGAACGAACATTGTGACACGAGAATTTTATATATTAGATTAAGCGCGTCTATATGCGCATTTAATACTTGTTCGTACGGTGAAGAGACAAGCTAAGACCCAAATGTATGTCAGACACAGTAGACTGTTGACCCACATCAACAAACATCTAACAAATGGATACAGAAATGTAAGGCTAAGGAAATCCATTATGTTCTTGACATCGTATTCATTAGATTTGTACTAAGTCTTACTAAATCTTACCCTATCTGCGTCACTTTACTTTGCGTCCACAATGTATATCGTGACTTAATTTGACAATTTTAATTAAACATGTTTTTAATGATCATTTCTCTTTTAGTGATAAAATGTGAAAAAAATATAGGCCAGTGTTTCCCAACATGGGGCCCACGCCCCACGTGGGGGCCATTTAACTATTAAGGGGATTCGACGATTACTGTGTTTCGTTAACAATTGCCTAGTAATTTCTTCCACAAACCTAAATTAAAGTAGCTTAATTAATTAATCAATTAAATTTTCTATTATTAAAAATTATGTATACGTTACATAAAAAAATTTAGAAAGGTTAAGGTGGGGCATGGGACAAAAAAGGTTGGGTAACACTGATATATACAATAAATAAAATGGAAGTGAATTGATAGAAGATTTCAAACTTTTATTTAAATATAACAAATTTTAAACGTGTTATTTGGTGAGTAAGCTTCGGTGAGCGGTACTTCCCCGCTGACTTACCTGTTTGACTACAAATATCACAAAGTAATAATGTGTTAACTATAATTATAGTTAGACAATTCCGGTGTGATATTTATGTATGTGTTGGACAATTTGTATAAATGGTATAAAAATATATCTGGTTGAATTTAAATGTAGCTAATAGCTCTCAGCATAGCAGCAGACGAGGCAACGACAGCCGGAAAGAATGGAGGCTTAAGACCGAAAGCGATTGAGACTCTCTGTAGACGCCCTCTGCCCTCAATTTGCATTACCATTTTGCATCCAATTCATTAATAGTCTTTTTTATGTTATGTCCTAGCTAAAAACTATTTTTATTGGACTAGAGCAGAGTTCCCCAAACTTTTTTGTGTCGTAGACCCCTTGCCATGTTTTTCCGTGTTGGGTAGACTCCCTACTTACCTGATATTGATTTCCTGTAAATTTCTAACTTTAGTAAAGTTTAAAAACACATGTTAATTTATACATTTTTTAATTGAATTTAAATTAAAACTACTCAAAATAAAATTTTGTATCTTTATGTAAAATATACGTAGCATTAAATAAACATAAAATTCAAAATTCAAAAATCATTTATTCACGTAGGTAACACAATGTACACTTGTGATTCGTCATTAAAGAAATACATATTAATGCTTCTAATTTTACATTTACTGCCAGTTCTCAAATCAAGGGCGTAGAACGGAAGAGAAGAACTGGCAATAAACTCTCCGCCACTCTTTTTAATCGCCATGTTTTTTTTACACAACGTTTAACGTAAGGAGCTGCAACCATTACACCATGTTCCACCTGACATCTTAAGTAATTAATAATAATAACATAAATTCAAAACAAAGACTTGTCCTCTATCAGCAGGAGGCATGGTGAAATAGGAGCACGCACTTACATTCTCGTGGGAACAACACGCAAACACATAGTCGAAATAATTAACATCACCGCATATACGAATTCAAGTACGACCAGTCACCACAAGTAGCACCCGATCACGAGTATGACGCATGGCCAGCCATCGGCCCCCTCGCCATATTTTAGAGAGAGAGACAACCCGACGCATGGACGCCGCCACAAGCATGACATTTACGCATGATGATCCTGAAATGGACTGGCCACCATAAGAAATTGTTTTGATTAACCTTTTATTCATTTAATAAAACACTATTTTGACCGATTGAAGTTATGTATCATTATAAATTTATTGCTGTCTATTGCTATAGTCACCGTGACCACGCACGCTGAAAAAAATTATGTTAAATATGTGAACTTGGCAAAATAGTGTTTTATTACATAAGAAAATAATAATAATACTGAAATAATTTGATACCACATGGATCACGGTTTGTTCCCACTTTACATTAATACAGTCGTGGATGTTGACGATCGCCTCGGAGTCTTGATATGCAGCCGAGAGATTCAGTCGCGTTACCTATTTATACTGGAGCAACTTATATCCAAGCACTAGGATCGTTTAAATATTCATTTATATTATAATAGACCTTAGCAAGCAGTTTTACTTTAATGTACGAAAATAAACTATAAATAAAATAACATAAGCAATAAGTCAATATAATGTATATGTTTTGATTATAAGATAGTATGATGTAAGTAAATAGGTACTATCAGTGTATGTGTTGAGATCCACTATCGTGGACCCCCATTTTCATTTCATGGTCCCCCAAATTTTTTTCGCTGACGTAGACCCCTTGCAGGTCGTCATAGACCTCTAGGGGTCGATATAGACCACTTTGGGAATCACTGCACTAGAGATCAAAGGGCTTTAAACACCAATGCACGGAGGGGTAACTCCAATATATTCGCGTATTAGGCGTATTCCAATTATTATCTAAGTCTAAATTCATTTAAAAATTAGTAAGATACGTATTTTTAAACAGAATTTAAAATTTGGTAAATACACGGAACTACAATAATACCAAGAATTTCAATCTGCCACTATTGATAGAATAATTTTTAGTCTAATTTAATTTCATTAACACGTCCATGTTCTTTATTTAAAGTTACTTAATAAATAAGGTATTTCGAATCTGTATTTTAGAGTTCTGATCAGCCGAAATAACAATTGTTTCAACGGGAATCAAGCCCAGTGTCGGTAAAATTGAAATAATATTAATTAAATATATTATAAGCTTACAATTAATACAACTCTGACAAATTATTATCATCGAATAAAATTATATCACACCATCAATTATTTTACTATGGCCTGACTGGTCCGGGTCAGTGTTTCATTGACTTTGGAAGTGAAGACACTGCAATGATATTTTTCACGGCCATATTCGTGTTGGGATTGACATTGGCAGATGCGTGTGAGTCGATTTAAATATTTTTGTTTATTTGGCTATTAGAGTTACGAAAATAGCCTTCTATTTATACGAATATATCGGGGAACCCGTTAAAATATGCACATAATATATTCAATAGTATTTTTCTTTTAACACAACGGCTAATGTTTTTTTTAATGTGTGAGACGTCCATATGAAAAATAAGTTAGTATTGTTCTATCAAACAAGTTATTAAAATAATAAAAATATTAGATTTTGCCGTCACACAATCCTGCAAATTCACGTTACCTTGTATTACTAAATATTAATAAAAGTACTTTTTTATGTTTCATATCTGCAAATGTGCCTTTATAGCATTTTCATTTGTAGTATTTAAATTAAAACAATTATATAATTAATATTTGCCTCTAAGACACAGTAGACTCCTAAAAATGACTTAATGAAAAAATATTAATTTTCGAATCAAGACAACTAGGTTACATATATCTGTGTATTCAGGGTGTCCCAAAAGTCGACGTCAAGTCGAAATTTTCTCATAGGTAATGCCACACCAGTTATCAGAAAAAAAAAATAATAAGTCATGTATTTTTGAAGTTATGGAATTTTTTTGTTATTCCAGAAAATGCACACCATGTGACAGTTTTTTCATTCCTGTTGTTACAAATATTTACTTTTTGCCAATTTTTTTTCTCTTACGTCATCCCGAATAGTGCTTTATGTAACCTATGATCCTAAACCCTGTGCCGATCACTCCAACTTGTAGGAAAATGTCATTTTATACCGTACCAAGTTTTCAAAATTAATTTTTCAACTGTTTAATTATAGTTCAACTGATCGTCCTGAAAAAAAATGTACTACTCCAGTTTGGCAAGTAGCTTTAAAAGTTAGCGCATTTAATAAGGATTCTACAGTGGTATAACACTGAGTCCATTATTTCTTAGATCGGCCTGGATCTGGAAAAGGAAAATTTCCATAACTTCAAAAATACATGACTTAATTCTTTTTTTAAATTTTTCTGATAACTGGTGTGGCTCATTACCTATGAGAAAATTTCGACTTGACGTCGACTTTTGGGACACCCTGTACATATTAATTGTATTTGAAATAACAATTTTTTTTTTCTACGGTTATTTGCAATCAGCCCTAAGGCTATGAGCGTTTTTTTCTATGGTGCTGTCATGTGGAGTGACTTCCCATTGGAAGCATCTACTCATCTACTGTCTAGAGCTACTGCCGGTCTTCTAGCTCTAGAATATGGTGACGTTTTAGTCGACTCACATACTGTCTAATGGTGAGTTGGCGAGCAAGTTCATTCGGGTGACAGCTTAACCGCTGTTTGTATTTAGCTGCCAGTCTCCAGATTTCCTCTTTGATAGTTGTTTGTGAAGGTGTTCGTGAACTTCGTTGTTGGTTATGTACCATGGTACTTGTGCAACTGCTCTTAGGATCTTGTTCTGTTGTCGCTGGAGTATATTTATGTTGGTATCACTTGAGCTGCCCCACAGTTGGAGGCCATATGTCCAAATGGGCTTTAGGATGACTTTATATATAAGAAGTTTAAGAACTAATAAATCTATTTGATGTTTCAAATAGTTCAAATATAAAGTTAATAACAATCAGAGGTTTCACCGCAATTATCTGAAATACTTATCAACAATAGATAAGAAATAACACGTAAAAAACCAAAATAGACAATAAAGTTCAAAATTTATTGGCAAAAAGTGTGTGATCGAGATACAATAACAGAATAATGTATGTGAGAGATAGAGACAGATATAGTATAGTTTGGTTAAACGCTGCAAATGTGAATCAGGAACATCCGGATAGAACTGGCATTTTCTTAACCTCATAAGGTCAAATTAAATGATTTGAGTAAGTGTGTATTCTTAGTTCTACAGAAATATTGTAATATATTGAACGTATGTGAAGGAATTTGAGCTATTGTTAGAAACCTTGCTAGAAAATAAATCTACTTACATTAGTAACAGTTATTTTCAATTATGTTCAGCATATCATACCTAAATTCAAGTGAAACTTACTATTAGTATTAAACTATCGAAACGGCATACAAGTACAAAATAACTTTATTCATATAGGGAACCAAGTACACTTATGATCGTCAACAGAAATGATGTTAAATTAATTCTAAATTTACATTTACTACCAGTTCGAAAGTCAAAGGCGTAGAGCGGACCAGAACTTGCAAGAAACTCTTCGCCACTCTTTTTAATCGCCATGTTTTGAGTCATACAAATTGTTTGGACTGGAGCAAATCAATCCCAATAGAGTCATTTAAATAATCGACAAATTTATAAAAAGCTTTATTGATTAATTTACGTTTAACGAGAGTTTTTAAATTTATTTAGTGATAGTTCTCTGTCGCTTGGGATTTTGTTGCAAAAACGATTATAATTTCCATATGAGTAAGGAGTAGTTTATCTTCTGGAGCCTGGACAAAAGACAACTCCAAACTAAATTGCTAATTGTATAAAAATAGGCGTTTTATATTTAATATTTGACAAAGGTTCCAGAACAAGGTTCTTCAGGACATTGCCAATGCATCATGGTATATTAAAATTGAAAGTATCCACAAGGATTTTAATGTGGATACAGTCCTAAATACGGCGAAACCGTTTGCCTTAGAACTCGCTACATAGCCATGTGAATGCTGAGGCAATAAACTTCTTGATACAACAGGAATAAATCGCCTTAAGAGAACTGAACCTTTTGTGTTAAAAACCCTAGTGTAGAGAATATAAGTGCAAATGCGGTATCTCGGACACACGAACATAGTGCCAAAACATTATAGAACATAAAGACTGTTAATGAACATTACCTTCGTTTAAGCTATTCATTAGTATTGCAGGAAATTAAGTCAACATAATATTACTTATTAGCCATAATTATTGTATATGTTACTGTAAAAGCTCGAACTGCAGTAAATCCTAAGATATTCCAGTAAAACCTAAGATCTACCAATTCCTAATGGTAAATGTCCCAAAAGGTTTGGGATTCGAACTCTTACCACCATTCCGTTGGTAAAGCTTAGGATTTACATTAATGGCACGGTAAATGTTGAAAAACAAAACATGTCATAAGCTTATGTAAGCATTATGTTTGTATTTCGTTGTTAAATTCCAAATAGAGAACTACTGATTTAGTTAGATAGATATGATAGAGATTGAGATATTCAAAGATATACGTTATGTGTTTTTTTTTTCAAAATAATTTAAATAAGTTGGTACATATTAGTATGTACTTATTACTATCATATGATACCTTTATAATACTATGTACCTATTTTGTCTAATAGTTCATTAAAGTAAATAATTAAGAATTACTCATTGTTTTATTCCTAAAACCAACATCAACCAGCTGACAGGGGCAAAACCTAGCATATACTGAATTCGAATGGTAAAAGCTCGAAAAAATCGTCGTATTTTCAAAAATACTTACATTTACCAACTCATGTCGGTAAATCCTAAGACTTACACTTAAATCTTAAGATTAACTACGGGAAGATTAAGGGAAAAGGAAAATTATTTTACAGTAACATATAGACTAGATTGAAATTCATGTAAAGTCGCACTCTTTTTTGTGAACTTTATAATTAATAAAAAATATTTAATATACAGGAATATTAAATCTATACATAACTAGTATCAAAGATAAATTTAGGATCAATACTTTGTATCTGTTTCTCTGAATCGAAGGCGAAAGCGACCCCGACAGAAGTTCCAGTTCCAGTTGTCAGAAATCGTTATTAGCATCTTTGTTAATAACAGCACCGTAAATCTATTAAAATTTATCTATTACAGCATGCCCCTCTATCGTGTCGAAGAAGGAGTGGGGTGGTTTGAAACCCATTCACGTGAGCTACCTCCTCAGGCCTGTAGACCTAGTCATTATTCAGCATACAGTTACCCCATTTTGTTCGACTGATGGCACTTGTACTGAGGCTGCTCGGAGTATACAAAATTATCAAGTCGATGAGTTAGGATACTGGGATATTGGCATGTCGTGAGTATATTTAGTACTTATATAGAAGTTACAATAAGCGAAAGAAAAATTCCGTAAATCATATAAGCTATGGTGTATTACTATTGCAAAACATGTACTATTCAATAAATGATTATTTGCGTGAGACAGTGTAGTTGATATAAATTTTATAAAGTATGATATGTACGATACAAATAATATAAGAATTGGCTTTGACTAATAATGTAAAATGTAAAATTCCTTAAGGGAAATTTGCGCGCCATTGTGTGTGGCAGAATATGCGAACTTACGATTGTACCACCTTACACATTTTTGTACCATATTCTTGCAATCAATAAATTATTATTATTATTATAAAATTTAGTGAATTGAAGGAATATTAAATAAAACTAGCGACAATATTGCTTTTAAATTGTTTTATTTACTTTAGTAAAGAAGAAGTTTCTGGAAACAAAAAGAATAAGGAACTTAGGAGAAAAATGACAGTCGATGACGCGTCTCGTTTGACTGTGATTGGTCAAACAGAAAGAATAGCAATGTCACATGTCGCTGTTGACCAATTAGAATAACACGCGCCATTCTTTTGTTTTAAGTTAACACACACTGCAGTTTATTTTAAACAAATTTAAGTAGAAAATAAACTGAATATCCAGTCCACTTTAAAATTTGATAAAAAAAATATATTTATTTATTTATTTATTAACACTTCGTTACATATTATACTAACGCTTACTTTAACTTTTTTCATAGTTATAACCTTATTATATAGTCACGTGTTCATGCTTTATATAGTTTTTAATTTATCTAACTTTATATTTATTTATTCCACTTATATGTATTTTTGAGTAATAGAACGTTAAAAATTAATTTGAATTTTTTATTTGTATAATTTTTTTTTAATACAACAATCAAGTATAAATAAAACTTTAAATATAATCAATATAAGTTATTTATAACCTTACAAATTTAAACAAACTATCACTTTCATTGTAAAGGACTTTTAAAAATTACAATTTATTCACCATAAGGTATAAAGGTGTATTATTTCTAAAAATTGATTTGGGGCTGGTTATCCTGTCCATTGATCTTTTTACCATTCATAAAGGAAGAACATGAGTTTGGGGCTAGTTACCCTTCCATTATCTTTTACCATTAATACAGGAAGATCGTGAGTTTGGGGCTGGTTACCCTGTCCATTGATCTTGTTACCATTTATACAGAAGATTATTTGGGCTGGTTACCCTTCCATTATCTTTTCATTTATAAAAATCTATTTGGACTTTACCCTTCATTATCTTTTTACCATTTATACAAAATCTATTTAACTTTACCCTTCCATTATCTTTCAAAACAAATATTACAAATTAATACTTCAGACTTACACAAATAAAATAAAACTCATATATTTGCAATACACCTCTATCACACTCTATCTCTCATAACACAATTTTTAAAACAAACTCATACATTTTGCATTTCTCTAATTCTAAACACATTACACCAAAAAACTTAAAACAGAACCCATACATTTATGTTCTAAATGTCTAAACACATTACACCACAAAAATTTAAAACAAAACCCATACCTTTCATTTCTTAATAACAAAGACCAGATCATCCTTCTGAATACACCCACATTAACACATTCCTATTATTTACTTTCTTCAACCTCCTCCTTTCACATCTCTCTTACTCCATAATCATTTTCACATTACTCTCAACAAACACAAACAACACTTTTAACAAACACTTTTAAATTTAATCACTTACTTTAATTACACAAAAAAAAAATTTAAACCACAAAATTACTCAAAACACAAAAAGAATAGCAAGTTCAAACCATTCTGATTAAAACAAAATAGACGGTAGTATTAGACTTTAAATTAAGTTAGGTTATATTGAAATTAATAAAAGATAACGTGCATTTTATATAGGTTTCTCTAAAGATGGCGTTAGTCCAACAATACATTAATAGAGTAGAATTGACATAATTAAATAAAAAGGAGAGCAACTGGCGGCCTTATCGCTTTCGAGCGATCTCTTCCAGGCAACCACTGTGAGAAAAAAAAAAAAAGTATTAAATTACATAAGGTAGGCAAGAAGTGCAAAAATACATGTATTACATATAGTTGTTCAGAAAAAGAAACTAAACAGGAACAAAAAACAAACTAAACTAATAAAGGAAATTTAAGATCAGTCTCACGTCAGTTAGTATGTATTATTAAAGTTAGGGATACGATGTGGACAGGTAATGTAATATAGTGTAGAAACTTTGTTAACGTATTGAACTGACATAAAAGGAACATAGATGAGCATGTTTATACGAATACTTAAACGAGTATAAAATGTCTTGAAGTAAAACTTTTATTACAGATTTCTTGTAGGCGGTAATGGGAAAATATATGAAGGCTGTGGCTGGCTCCACGTCGGCGCCCATACATACGGCTACAACAGCAAATCCATCGGCATATCCTTTATAGGGAACTATAATGGTTAGTACTTGCAGAGTTCGCATCGTAAAACCCGTTTGATTTGGGATTCGGTTTATACGTTCGTCATCCTTGAACTATATGAGTAATTTGAAGACTTGTATCCCATATATATTCTTTGAGCTGCTCACAAAACAAATTGTATGTAAACTCGCAGCTCACAGATTTTGATTTTAGTTTCGTATAAACTGACCTAGTATGTAGTGAGTATAAAAACGGTACAACTGGAAAACACATTAATTGCTTTTGTAATAAAATTTTGTTAATAGGTAATAATGATTTGGAATTGGTGTCAAAAAAATGAAGGCGCTACCTGTTAGGCCTGGGCCTCAGATTTCTGTATCTGTATTGTGTTTTTTTTCTAATAGGCACATAGGTAAATAGTCACCTCTGCCTGGTACGCAACATTGACATTGACGCAAAAACGAAAAAATCCAAGTATTGTTGTTAAAGTAAAAAAAATTGTTATAAACAAAGTATAAATATTTTTTAACTTTTATGGCACGATCTTGTTAAGTATGTATGTAAGAAAGGCACTACGAAGCAAACAATTTTTACGACCATTATTTAAACATTTTTTTTTAGACGGTAGTTCGAGAAAATTTCGTTAGTTAACAATTGTTTAACTTGTAGAAAAATTAACTTTAAGTAAAATTTCCAACGGGAATAAATTAATTATAGTGTTCAGAACACACCATAATTTTTTCAAATTTAAAAAAAAATATTCAATACCTTAAATTAATTAATTAATGTGCCGTACTCGCTTTTGACGCCACGCGCGCATCCTAAAAATGTCACGCGCAGACCTATTTTCAGCGTTAAATTAAAATTATAAATAATGGAGATAGAGTTCCGGGAGTTAGGAGTTTTTTATTGGAAAATTTCTTAAATATTAACAGTTTATTAAATATTGGCAAAAAACGAAATGCCATTTTTTTTTTATCTTTAATTGTTTATAACTTTTGCAATTTTTTATGTGCTAATACTCGCTTTTGGCACATTTTTCTAGACGTCATTCCGGATCCAATGAGCTATCGCACATAATTTTAAGAGCAGTATCCCTATTTTGTATCATTTTCAACTTGTCGACTAGACTATACGAGTAAGTGTTGAATGCGCACATAGACAGAAAGGTCCATTGGTACTCAGCCGTGGTTCGAACCTACAGGGATGACAGTCGCACGCTAAAGCCACTAGGCCAAAACTGCTCTATTAGTATTTATGTTTTAAATTTGATTTAGCAAATGATGGTTAAAAAATATATATATTAATATACAAAAATAAATTTCATTTGATTTTATTTTTATTTTAGATTGTTAATAATCTGTTGAATGTCAAAACTGACGACGTTTTATTTTGAGAGTTTGTTAGTCTGTGGCAGACGCGAGGTTAGGCTTCTTATTTGAATTTTTACAAGAAGAATTATTGAACATTTTCGGATTAAAATAATCTTTTTGAAGAACTTTTATGAAATAACAAACAAAATTTTGTTTCTATAATTATTTCAGCAACACATTGAGATTTCATTAATCATACATCTATATTTATTAAACGTTTTTTAATCCGGTGAAATATGTAGGATCGTTTGTTTATGTATGGAAGAATGTCTGTTATAATCCTTGTCCATTTTGCAGATGACGATCCAACAAGTACCCAACTCGAATCTGTAAAGGAACTTTTACGCTGTGGAGTGGAGGAAGGTCATTTATCAGCAGATTACAAAGTTGTTGGACACAAGCAATTAATTGCTACACAGAGTCCTGGAAGACGATTGTACCAAGTTATAAGAACCTGGCCCGAGTGGTTGGAAGATGTTACATCTATTAAGAATAAAAGTTAAAAAAATACTTTGAATATCGACTACGGCTTTGATTATATATCTACTGTTAAATAAATACTTATAAGAAAGATGTTTTGAACGAAATTTCTCAAATATTATTGATTCAAAAACTTTATACAACTTAAATTAAATGATGAATCTATTTTATATCATTCATAAATAACGTTTTGCTTTGATTATTTCGTTACCACCAACTTTTTGTGTGTAAGGGCGAATTCAGGCTGGAATTTGAGTGATCAAATTATACGTTTGGCATATGGAAATCCAAAGCGCTAAAACATACAATACAAGAAATCTTATTTTAATTTAATAGCCATTTCTTGTAACACGATTTCAATATGCGAGAAGTGCGAATACTTCGTTCGCATAAATGAACATTTTATCGGCTGAAGTTTAATAAACAATTTTAGTACATTATATTATAAGCTCTTTCAAGCTGAAATCATCGTATTTGACTTAATATGTATGTATAAGAATACTTACTCACGGCGTATGCGCTTTCTTGAACTATGAAGGTTCTATAAAAATGTTCTTATGAAAGCATAAAAAAATTAAGATAAAAATAATAAGCGAATACAACGGACGTTTCGTTTGTGATTGGCCGAACGAAAAATATGAAAAAAAAATCATTTTTCAAATTGTATGTATTAAACGATAATTTACTTATTTATATATATTATGGAAATCATATTAGGATATATAGTTTTTGGTTAATATTCGTAGAGGTCATTCAAATAACTGCTTATAAATATATAATTAATAATATTGTTGTAAAAAAATCAAGTGTTCTCTAATGGGGCATCAGCTCTGCGATTCTGTAACTCACTTTTCGAACTCACACAGCGGTTTTCGCATCGGAGGTCGCTCTCAAATCAGTCGTGAAGCAGTCATTTTATGATTTGGCATTCTGAAATTCTTGGTGAGTTACAGAATCGCAGGGCTGAAAACCAGGTCTCATCTTACGTTGAATATATTACCATTAGAAAAAAAAAACACTTTCGTATGTAACTAATGAGAATTAAGGAGTAAATTTGTTTAAATTTTTAAACTTTTTGTACTTGCATTTCAAGGGGTTTTTTCTAATTATCTTTATTATTTGAATGTCGAAATCAATGTTTATATACAGTATATAATCGTAAATCTATTTACATAATAACATCTGGCTTGGATCAGTTTTTTAACATAAAAAATATAGGGTGCAAATCATTATGTACGCGCGTAAGAAGTTATACTTCTTTGGCATTATTAAAAATAGTTTTTGATTGCATGCAAATAATTAATTACAATTAAATAATCAAAGACTGGAAAAGGAGTCATTAAAGTCAATAAAGTTCAGTTTACATTTGAAAAATTAATTAAATAAATATTTATTATTATTCTCTTACATTAAACAAATAAAACACTATTTATCTTTAAAACATTTTTATTTCATTATACTATTTATTTTTAAGTGACTCTAATGTCTTCATCAGAATTTCGGTTTGTAATTTTAAATTAATCATTACTTGGTTGTGCATCTACGAGGCTTCTCCAAAACTACTTGCTTTCTGCAACAAATAAGAGAATATTAATTTAAGCTCTGTCCATGCAAAACTTAAAATTTTTATAATTCATATTATAAATTTTTTAACACATTTATATTAATATAATTATATAAATGTGTTAATAATATAATTTGTAGCACATGCTACAGACCTGGATAGCAACTTTCTTTTATTCTATTTAGAGATAGAGATAATTTAAATATAATACCGGTGTCTTCCTTGTAGGTTTCTTTGGAGTTGTTTGGGGATTCTTGTTGTTCAGTTCGACATGATTTTATTTAACCTTTCTTTAATCCTACAAAATAATGAAATTGTTAAGTTATGTTGTCACTGTTGTGCACACCTTTGTTTGGCTTTTTTAGTATTCAAGTTATGTCAAAACTGATTTATTACCTTGTCATTGTTGGCTTTATTTGCTTTTGGGATATCAATTGTTTCCAAAATGATTTTATTTGTAATAACCTGAAATATATAAATAACATCTATTAATTTAAGTATCATGGTGAGTGGTTCGCACTCAGGTATTAAGGTGTATTATACCCACTGTCCATTATAAGTGGGAATGGGCTCACTTCTGGCAGGACAGAGTTTCGGTACTACAAGTGCAACATGGATGTTTTGAGGTATTACAATATCTCTAACTACCCTGTAGGGGAATAAAGTAATGTTGTAAGCATATGCCTATGCTTGAAAGGTTGAACCTTGAACATCACCATACATCATATTTATAATTAACATTCCTACCTCGACACCATCACAATCAAATTCATTGAAATCTACTTCAAACCATTGTGTCTCGAGAAGGTGATGGTGGCTTTGTTCCACCTCCAGTTTTTGATGTTTCACGGCGATAAGATGACAACTCTTTTTTTGTATTCAATTTAGTGCACTTCCACTGATTCATCAATTGTTTTTTGTCTCTTGTCCTTATATTTGCTAGATTAAATCTGATGTTTTGATTAAATAATGTGGTCATTTTTTTGAGATGCAGGTACTTATTAAAATGTTTACTTCTCTGTTATATCGCTCCAAGCCTTCATTTTCTCCTTATTAGTATTCGTGCTTAAATCTTTGTTCTCAATTATTGATATATAGGGTCGTAGAATATTTCTAAAAAGTTGCTGTAACAAACGCAATAAACAAAAGCAATGAATAATGGTTCATGTTTCAGTTTTAATCAACAATAATACTCGATAATACATACGGATAGTTAACCTCAATTGTATTGAAGCACTCAGGAAGGTTAGCACAGTTTTTTCACAAATATTTTATATTATTTCACAAATATTTTGTATAATGAAAATAACTAGGTATATAATTATTAATTTTAAACAATAATTAAAACTCCTATATTTGTTTAAAAGGTAAATGTCATTGTCAGATGTCAATTGTCATGGTCATTCAAAATTCTTGTTAAGCTGCTAAGCTAGAATATGCGTGAAGTTAGCTTCACGCATATTCTATTTCTTTTACTTGTAGTTTGTCTTATTCCCATCTCGCTCGCGCACGCTATATCACACTGCCAATTTTGTGTCATAGGTGCGCGCGCAATCGTAAAATTTCACTCTCATCAATTTTTCATAACGCGCCTAAAGAAGTACAACATAAAAAATATAATAACAAATCATTTTGAATTGTGTAATAACCTATACAGTAAGATGCATTTAAGCTGTCAAAAACTGATTTTATCGATTTGAAGTGTACGAATACTTGGTGAATGTATTGTAAAGTTCTTGCTAAAGGTATAGATTGGTTCGTCTTGTGACAATCAACCGAACGCGCCATTGTTTTATTCAACATTCTAAACTTTATGATCTTCTCAAATTCAAGTAATTCATCCAGATCGAGCCACGTAAATGATCACTTATGCACATAAATCTAACATGCGCTGTCCCTTGAGACAAAAAACTCTTTCTGCAAGCGTGACTCGTCAGCCATATGTGAATGACATATGACACTTGTCACGTGAGTTAAAACTGTAATATTTTTTAACGTCCCTCGGGCAACACTTAGTCTCCTAATCTTTTTATTTGTTTATATTTCATAGTCTCAAACATAAAGCAAACAAGACTTCATTATGTTACTTAATAGTAATATTGAAATGTTACTGTTGGTCAGTGTCGAGAACAACAGCCAAGAAACTTGCTAGGATATCAAGACTAGATTATTATTATTAACCTAAATCTTTATATCGTTTCAATGGATTTTAGCATTTTTTTTCCTTCCTACGGCAGCGCAATTGCTATTAATAAAACAATAAATTAAATAATTTTTATTAGCACCGAAAATTCTTTAAACTTTACACTATATATTAATCCACTTGGTCGATTTGAAGTCTTACTTCGTACTGAGATCTGTACCAAATCCACCAGCCCAAAGCGTGGCGTGTAGCAGCTGATACAATCCAACAGTAGTAACATACCTGTAATAAATGATTGTTTGTATACAATACTGTGGATAATTAGTGATGTAATAATGATGAATAGTTCATTAAGGACACGACCTTCAGAAATGTAGAGCGCGAAACTGAAGACAATGTTTTTGAACGTTGATCAAAAGACGCAACGTTCCGTTCGATTTTGATGAGTCTGAATTTCTTCCAACACGCGTTAATATGTGAAGTGATACGTCTATTAGTCCAATGACAAACATATCCATATCGTTTTTCATCTTTCATTTTACATTCCCTATTGTAAAAGATGTGTTATAGATTTCTTAACTTTACTTATTAAAAATCTAATATTACACCATCATATATTATTGTATCTACGCCATTGGAGTTGATTCAGGATTATAATAGTTTCTACAAAAATGCAGCGTATTTCTTTTGTTTAAACAAAATCAAATATCGTCACTTTACTCATAGGTAAACGATTCTATAATAAACTACCAAGTGAACTTGTCAAATAATAAATTTAAGAAAATTATAAAACAGAAGCTCTCTAGGAAAGCTTTTTATAAAATATCGGATTACCTAGAAGATAAGGAAGCTTGGAATTAAAAATAACTTGCTCCAGCTATTTAATTTAACCGTCACTATTGTAAGCATTGTAAATAACTTAAGACGATCAAAAAAAAGCTAGTCCGTCTTCTTGCCTTTCTCCTTGTGTGCTGGTCGCGATTCCGAACAGGCGGTAGAGTTGACAATTCAAAGTGATCACGTGATTCAACTGAATAAATGAATTTTGATTTTGATTTGACTATTATTAGGTCATAGGACAGAGACATATTTGCGTAAGAATCCAATCCTGCAATTTTTGTATCTATTACCGGTTTGCCCGATTATTCACCAATAAGTGCGCGTGTTGCGTATGTAAAAGTTCAAATTGGTTCCCAACTAGAGATTTAACCCACATCTCAGGTTTTATCCTTATAACTGTTGACACAAGATGGAAGAATACTTCATTCAATGCGATGACTTTGATCAACCGCACCATTATTGGATTACGATAAAAT